TTGTTTTGTAGCTTCTAAATTTCTTAAGTGTTAGGTCATTTTACTTACAAGTTAAATAGCTGTCTGCAAGAGGCCTTGGATGGTCATAAATTGTCCTTCCAATAATATAAAACACACCATTTATTTACAACACGTATGCTCTTCCAAGTAGAGACCACTGCAATAAAGATCGGTTGGAATGACTCCGTACTCAGTAAGTGCAATCAGATCCAGCAACAGTAGCTTTTATGGGCTTTTTCTCCCCTCCAGGAAAACCTGAGATATTAGTGCAATATTAAAGAGCTGTGATGGTTTTACCCGGAGGGGGATCTTACTCCTCCTATGCATCCACTTGTTTTGGGAGTGGAGTGAGGTAACACTCACCAAAGAGGTTCCGAATCAGCCCTGTTAGGATCCTTCGTTTTCATAAGCAATATGACTGATTAAAAACAAGGTTAAATGAATATTATGAAGCTGCCACAGTGGTATGAACTCCAGGCTCTGGCTTATAAACAACGTTTGTGGCGGAAGGGTTATTACCTGCTTACACTTGGAGCAATGAGCCTTTCGATCCCTCTTTATTCCAGGATGTCTGAGCAGTAAAAATGCACATGCTGGTACATGACCTAGGGTGGGCTCCTAGGAAATGTTAGCCCAGTTTAAGTAATAAATATGTTCTTACACAGGCAGAGGTGTGCCCTGATCAAACTCTAAAGTGAAATACCAGCTAAAAGAAGGATTTGATCTAGATTAGAAACCCAGTTTAAGTGTTTGAAGTAGAAAAGCGGTAGGAGCTGATTTGAGTCTCCAAAGCCTTTTGTCAATAGAAAAGCTCTGAACAATTTCCTTTTAATAATATTACCGCATTTATTTAAATGTGTTTTCTGTAGTTCTTGGACAGTACAGAGGGGTATGATATTTACTCAATAGATTTGCAGACTAACAGGATCATTAACACATTAATCAACATCTTGTTCACTGGCTCAACCTCAGACTGTTCTGAGGGTAACTAGATTGGTGCAAGAGATTCACAGGAGCATGGGCTTCATCTCACCCTACTGGAGAAGGTATCTAATCTAAACTCTCTCACAGTATCTCTCTGTAAACAATGAGAAGAGTGACAGATATCTTCCAGAGGAAAAACCACTGCATCCTATGTGTCTGGAAAAGGAAAAAGAAATTCTGTCTTGGGATATGCCAATCTCTCATCATGGACTATGATGGAACCCAGACAGCAGGGTGAAGATTTGTTCCAAACTTACCTGGTTCTACCAATCATCTCAGCAGGGATCTTGCACAGAGGAAAATGACTCTATCCCCTTCAGTTGCTTCTGTGTGAAACTGTTGGGTCACTTACAGCAAGTGCCATGGCTGATTAACTGGCTGTCTGCTTTGCTCAGTAGCTGACTTCATTCCAAACTCATCACTGTGCCCATAAGGATCACCTGTGTACAGCTTCCCCACCCTCCCTTAAAGCTCTAGTCCTGTCCACACCAATCCACCTCTATGACACCGAGTTGAGAATCAGTCTCTTGAGTAGCTGAGCTAATGCTTGGTGCTGTCAGATGAAATCTTTCTCATCAATGGGCTGGACCATCCTCTAACTGGATCACAACCAATGTATCTGTTGCTCACCATATCTTTGCTTCCCATCATGTACGTAGTGGACAGATTGATTTCTCCTTTCTTCACACTCAATATTCAACTAATCGCTGTCATGGCGCACCACAGCTCTGCGGATCTGTCCTATTTCTGTCTCCTTTTGGACACTAACAAAGACGGTCAACAAGACATTTTGCCATGAATCTTCTTTCCCAATTTTCTCCAGCCCTTGTTTTGAGCCCTTCTCCTGTACTGTCCCTGTTACACCCTCATCCTCCTTCAAATCACCTCTGCCAAGAGGCCAATGAAAGCCACCTGGGCAGTATGGCTGTGCTTGCAGCAGCACCCTGGCCTCACTGTCTCTCTCTGTCACCTCCATCCCATTGTTGACTGGAAGATCTTCAAGGCAAGACCACTGCATATCCAGCAGTGACTCACACACCAGGCCCATGCAGGTCTTCACCAGCTGTTCCTAAGCACCACCAGAGTCCAATCAAATGTGTTGATGTGGCAATGACAGACTGAGACCAACCATCCTACCAATAAATAGTAACAACAACAGGCACAAGAAATTATGAAAAAAATTACTTTTTAATGTACAAAAGGTTTATATACAGGTTCAGCATGTTACCTTCGTTCTTATGATGTAGAAAACAGCTAAAAATGTTCTTAAGATATAAATTTGACAGAACAATTCACCTACAGTACTTTTAGTAATGACGTCTTCTATACATAATATACACAGTGCTGGAATGGTTATTATAATACTTTTTTCAGTAAATGAAGGAAGACCACCACTGGAAAGTCTGAGAAATCTCAAGTCATTGGAGATTTGGTTTGGCTTTTATATTTGATCTGTTGCTAACGAGATATCTGTGAAGAGGGACTCAGAAACCATTGTTGCCCTGCGCAGCTGTTGAAAAAATCAGATTAGCAGTTGAAGGGCACGAAAGCCTGATCCATCTCAGCACAAGGGATGCCCAGTTGTACTCCAAGTGTCCAGGACAACATACAATGTCCTAAAATATGTACTGCCCTCTTTTCATAAATGCAAAGGCAAGGGCAAGGTCAGTAACTGCAGGAGAATATATACAGAGGACTATAAAACAATCCCTTTAAACACAAGTATCACGGGAGACACAAATGAACAGCCAGGCACCTTGCTTTGCTTTCCTGTCCTCGTGCACCCTGGACATCAGTAGGAGTCACGGGGGCCTCGAGGCGTGAAGAGCACCCTGTGCGCACCTGCTGTGTTTGGGACGAGGACGGGCGAGATCGCAGGAGGCTGGGGAGCACCTCCTGCACCAGCCGCACCCAGGGCTGCCGGGCAGCAGGGCTGTCCCAACCCGTCTGATACCGCAAACTTTGCCTGAAGGTAGCGCGTGGAGTTTTCATGCCAGCCCCTGCTCATGCAGGGAACAGCGAGCCTGACACCTGTTTGTGCAAAAGCAAAGCAGGGACACCAGAAAGCACCCTTACTAAGATGTCCCTGTCCCATGCAGGGGACGGAGTTGGGTGCAAGTGAGAACGTCACATTAATATGAGTTGGAGAGGGGAGACGGGAAGCAGTGAGTGAAGCTCTGCAGATGCATGACGGGTCAAACTGTGAGAACCTAGGGGGGATGCCACACTTGTCTGCTGCCCTTCAACATACTGGGTACAGAGTATCTGGTGCTGTAAGAGCAGGATGAACAGAGTTGTCCTTACCCAACGCAGTCAGAAGTTAAGCAAGGCCTCCGGCTCCAGCACATGCACCCCTCCGCTTCTACCCTTTTGTCTGACGACAGTAAAAATAAATAATGCAACTAAAACTGACTTCAGTGCCAGGTGGAACTGGCCTGGAAACAGCTGATCATCATTACAAGCAGTTCCATTTTGGTGAAGGATTCGGCTTTGGGAGGGCCTGCTCCTCCCATCTCTTTCCCAAGGACGTTTCCAAGAGATTCTCACTGACCCAGCTACTCTTTTGACTCAAATACCTGTTTTGAGACTGTCCAGATGTTTGCCTATGCTGTGGACTGCAGGTGCACTGCTGAACCCAACCAGGCTGGGTACAGAGAGTAGCTATATACCACAGCACAAAGCACTGGCCAAGCTAACGCTCCGGGTTGTCCACGGTATATTTTGTGCATCCAACAGCTCTTTTCTTGATGACCTAAGCTGTGGACACGTTAATGCAGCACTGGGTACATGCCAACAAGCCTCCTTGCAGGACAGGGTGTATTAGCTCATGCTCGGCCCCACATCCGTGCAGCCACGTGCCCGCTGTGTGCACGGAGCCCAGGCAGAGCCCTGCCTGCAGTATGTTACACAGATGAAGCCTGGCTGGATAAACAAGCTCCCACAATGATGTCACAGTGCAGACCGGGCTGAAACAATCATAAAACGCTCTCCACCGCCATCACTTTTGTACGTGAGCACCTTATCATGGAAAACCCAACAGAAAGCAAAGCCGTCGCAAAGCCACGCAGGGATATGGTAATGTGCGCTTCAGAAAGCTGACATGAAAGACGTATGCGGGGCCCCTGCAGAAAACCACTGCGCTCAGAGGGTGCAAAATGTGTCAGTCTGCACACCAGAGCCTTCCTGCCACGGGGGATTATTTCGCAGTGATTGCTGTTCCCAGGCCTCTGCTCCACTCTGCACGTGATATAAACCACGTTGTAAACACATCTGATCAAAGAGTGCACTCACCTTTTATGTGTCTCATCAGTGTGTCTTTCCAACGTTTTCTCAGAAACACCACTATGTTTTTATAAATGTACATTTTATATACGCTTCTGGCAATACACTATATTTGATTTTTAAAGGAAGAGAGGCCTTGGCTACTTAACATGAAAGCATAGTAAGGCACTTTGCTGAGAAGCTGTTTGGAATCAACGCTCTTTGCAAGGTACAAAGGTATTTACGGTATAAAACAATACTGCTGGCAGAGGGCTTGTCTGGAGACATAGCTAAACCCTACTCTCATCAGAGCAGAATACATAGTATGGCTTATATTCTGATCAAAACCGCATCCTCCTGTTTCTTTCTGGGGTGGGTTGAAAATGAAATTTTTTGCACATGTAGTTAACTGAAAATGGTGGGGTGCTATTTACAGTGCTGCCAGGGAGGGAGGGTTTCATCTCTAACCATGTTCATGCAGTCTCCTAGCTTGGTGGTGATATCGTTCAGTGCTCTGGGAAACCAAGCCAAAAAATAACACTAGAGGTGCACCCTTGCGGTGCTGAACTGCCCAGATATAGTTTACATAATTCTGTACAGAGACTTATTAAAATTTTCATTTTGAATCCCTTTAACGTATTTAATACTTATAAAAAAAATCTACTCTATTGAAACAGATTATTTTTGAAAAGCACATTCATAAGACTGCTTCACGCACAGCTCCTTGGATAGCGCTAAGGCCTTGTGCTTTACTGTTATGACATCATGTTTAGAAATTTACTCTCTTCCGCCAGCGTGGTTAGCATGGAGCTCATATCGCCTATTGCCATATTGCTTATTCCCGCGGGTATGGTGGGCAGTGTCAGAGAGTTTCGTGGAGTCGTCAGGCGAGAGGAGTTCTGGGAGAGGTTCTGCAGGATGCTGGGGCTCAGGGTTCCCGACATCAGGCTCGAATGGTCCCCATCGTCCATGATGGCATCAAAATCTATCTGGGGCGGCTCAAGACCTTGTGAGTCCACCGTGCTGGACACCTGGTTCGTGCCCGGGGAAGGCAGAGCAGCCGGCTTGCTGTTCAGCGCACACTGCTGCTGTCTGACCCGGCAGTCCGCATGATTATCAAAGCTGCTGTTCTGCTCGTACATGTGGATTTGACCATAATAATACATCAAATTGTTATCCCTCGTGCCGTCCGCACACTGCTGGGCCGGCGCCGGCAACATGTCGCTGGTTCTTTTATGCATGGCCTCTGCTGCCTCCTGTCCCGGGCTGAGGGTGTTTGTAGGGTGGGGAGTTCTCATGTAGCCCAGCTGCTGCACGGTGCGCAGGCCTCGGGATCTGCTGGCTGGGCTCGGCTCGGGTGGCGGACGAGGCTGGACCATGCTGGGTGGATAAATCTGTGCAGCTGAGCCCATCGTGCTCTGCTGAGGCTCAAAGCTGGTCTGGTTGGAGGCCACGACGGGCTGATGGAAGGCCTCCTGAGCCATGGGGAAGTTCAGGTGGGTCGGCTGAGATGAGTAGTTCTGCTGACTCGGTTCGTGCATGACCTGGCCCAGCATCGTGCGCTCACTGTTGCTGCTCACCATTAAAGAAGGGTCAGTCGCCATGTCCATTTGCTGAGGGTGAAGATGGTGTCCAGACTTTGCTGCCATGCTGCTACAAGAAGGAGAGATCTGATTTGGGTTGCCACTGATTGCACTGGGGGTCAGCATCTGATGAGGCTGGTTATACCCTGCGTGCAAGCCTAGGTCAGGGTTCATACTGGGACCCAGGCTCATCGGCTGCTGCCGCAGCTGCATACAGTTTAGCCTCTGCCCATCCATGCCCACATTTCTTTGCATAAAGCTCTGCTGTGTTACATTCATGCTGTTCTCAGGCATCTGCATCTGCTGCTGGTTGTAGTTCTGGTACTGACCAAAGTTCTGCTTCTGCTGGACCACTGCTAAGTTCCCTTGCGAAAACTGCGGTTTCGACTGATTGGACATGAGATCAACTGTACCCGAGCTGACTTCATTCCACTGGACGGGCATGTTATTTTTATTCATGTCTGAGGAAGTATCAAAGCTCATGGGACACTCTGCCATCACGGGTCCCAGGTGGCTCATGCTCGCCTCAGCCACTGCCGTCCTACGTTGTCCAGGCAAGGCAGGAGGCTGCAGCTTCCCGCTTCCCTGGAAGCTCTGCATCTCGTTGCTGTACCCCATGGAAGTACTCTCAGCCACCACCCCATTGCTCTGGGATTTGATGTACTGCACCACATCGTCTGGCAGCATAATGTCATCATCTCCAACGGGCACCTCTGCCTCCCCAGACATGGCTTCCATGGTGATGTTTTCACTGATGCTGAGTGGCCGGGGTGAGTAGGTATGTCGGGGGAGGCTCCCATCTGAGCGCCCATAGCTCTGGAGGCCGAAATTCCTCCTGTCCGTGGGGTGTGGAGGATGGAAGGGGTTCATACTGTTGGTGCTGTTGAAGCGGGGAACTCGAGGGAGGGCCTGGGGGTCTCCAGCAGGTCTCCTCACCGGGTCACTCGCCCGCCTTGTGCAGTTGCCTGGCACCTCATGGGGAAATGCTGTAGCTGATGGGTAGCCATAGGTGTTACCATCACTGCAACGCCTGGGGCCTGGCGGGAGGCGGACGGAGGGCAGGGTGGGGTCTGGTCCATCCATAAGTGAGATCCTGTTCTTCAGGGTCATCCTCTCCATATTTGGCAGGGGTGTCGGAGGAGGGCCCCCTGTGGCAGCAGCATACTTGGCTTTCAGCCTGTAGTGCTGAGCTGGTGTGAGGTTCAACAGACCCGGCATCCCGCTGCACTGGCTCGCCTCGCTTGACCGGCGGGAGGCATCTGTTGAAATAGGGTCGTAGGAGTCGGCAGAGCTTGTGTTATTGGGACGGTGCCCGAGCTGCGAAGCCTCGCTGGAGCGGCGGCATGAGAAGTACGGGGAAATCCCTGACGATCTGCGGCTGACAGTATAGGCAGAGCTGATGGTGCTTGTCGTACTATCACGGCGCTCATTGAGTTGGTTCAGCATCGTAACCTCATTGACAGACAGCTCCATTATTCTGGGATTAGGCAGTGTAGCGGAAGAACCACCACTATTTTCTAGAATAGAGCCTGAGAGAAAGACAGGGGAAGAAAAGGTTTAGTTAGCTGAGAAATTTCACTTGGTCGTGTTTTTGGTGCCAGAACACAGACACACAGAGCCACCTCCAAATATTTCAAGGGAACGATACTGAATTTCATTTGATGCCACTGAATGCAAAGCTTCATCTCCAGCTCTGTGTCCATGCACAAAGAGCAAAAAGGCTGGGAAGAGAGGACAAGCAGTCCCTGCTGCAGAGTCTTTGCAACCCCACCGATGCTTGGCTACTGAGGAAGAGCCTTCACATGGGTTTCTCTCAGTAGCAAGAAAGTAGGACTGGTGTGGCCAGTGCCATGGAGACATCATGTAGCTACAACCACAGCTGCTCACTGAGACAGCTACACAGAAGTCAGAGATAGGAGGCTGAGAGTCCAAAAGCTGACCCTCAAAGGCTCTTCCCAGAGTAAACCAAGAAGCTCCAATATACTAAGACCTGAGGTTTAGTATAACCCAGGCCCTATGCCTTGGGACTTCTTGGCAAAGTTAGAAGAGCACTGAAGGGGTCATAAAGATGCCTTTATCAGGAAGCCCCAGCCAGCGGGAAACTAGCATATGAAGATGCAGGCAATAACGAGGAGCTCTCAAAGTGACAAAAGGCCTGTCAGAGCAAGATCAAGGATGACGGCCTTGTATGGATTGCTGCTGTGCTCCAGCAACATCCCTGGAGGCACATCAGCCCTTGAGGAATTGTTACTGCTGGAACAAAACCAAGCAGTCTTGCTGCTGCCACTAGGACAGTGGGGACAGCTGTGGCTGGGTCCTGGGCAAGCCCAGGAACAAGAAGGACACCAATACCTCTGCCTCCTTTCTAGCTCTGCAACATTAAGCTTCTGGGTTTCTGTTGCGTATCACCAGACAGCTGTGTTTACAGCCGAGCTCTCCATTTTACCTGACATCTCTATCCAGCAAGGGCTGACTCAGAGGCAGTAAGAAATGATCCTCCCCCAGGACAGACTCTTGGTTATGAAACCAGAGTCAAAATCTAGTGGGTTCCTACAGTGCATGGCCCAGGCCTGGGGCTTACCATTTCCTGAGATGGGAGGCAGCTTGGTGTTTCTGGCTTGTGGAGCTGGGCTCACCCATGAGCAGGAATCCTTAACTGTCTTGAGTTTCTCTTTCTTGAGCTGTTCAAGTCGTTGCATCGTCGTCATGTGTTTCCTTAGCTGCAGGCTGACTGTCGAATTACCAGATGAGACCGTTGAGTCCACAACAGGAGCGTTGTCATCCAACGCCGTCAGATCTCCCAGACTTCCTCCACTGTGCATGTTCATTTCTACTCCACTGTCATTGTTGTTGGTGCTGCCAAGGGGTGAAGGCTCACTGCTGCACGACGACTGGCCACCAGGACTGGACTGACACACCTTGGGGAAGGAAAAGAGGAGGAATTGGGCAGGGGAAACATGGATGGAAAGAAACCAGGAGCTCAACATTCCCAACAGGCTCCATGTATTTGGCCCTATCCCAGGTTCTCCACTCTCTTGTTACCTCTCAGCCGTACCAGAGGGCAGGGGCACCTTCCCTAGGGGGGGAGGGCAGGGCAGCACCCCACAGCTGGAAAAATTATAGTGGGTTCAACTTGAGGATGGAGAGAAACCAAACGCTGTTCCTCCAAAAGATTAAGGACAACTACTTCTTGAAGCAAAGCAGCATGTTACCTGGTTGTGCAAAGTATATTGCAGCAAGCACTGGCTTATCTAACACAGGATCAAGGCCAAAGTATTTCAGACACAACATATTTCTGTCTTTAAAATACCCTAACATATAATTAAGTTAGCTGAAAAACTTCCCAGCCAGATAAAAACCTGGTTTGCTGTTTGCAAACTCCCACTTGCAGATAAGGCAGATAAGCACCATAAATATTTATTTTATTTACATTAGGAATTGCTTTTCACATTGAGTAGTTTATTTGCAGCAGACACTAAATGGTCTGAACTTGCTCTGAGGTAGCTGTTGCTGCTACTAGACAGGATGCCAGGCTTCTCCCCTCGAGGGCCATGCTCCAGCAACTGTCAGAAAATGGTAGTGCTGAAAAGGCAACTTCTTTTGCCCCAGGCCAGTGTGGGAGTGCAGGGTGATGCAGTGTTTTACTTTGCTCTGTAGCAGCCCTCATGAGCACGGCTGACCACCTCTGATGGCCTCATTACCCTCCAGCTGGGATGGTAGAGATTGCAGTCCCAGGATTTAACAGCAAGTTGTGATGCTGGGAGAGAGGCAGCAAAGGGAACCCTCGGGCACAGTGTCCTCCCCCTTTCTGAACTCAAGCAATTATCCCCTGTCCCTCCCATCGCTCCACAAGCCTCCGCCTCCACCCCACAGGGCTTAGCTGGAGACAGGAGGTCTGCGGGAGACCATGCTTTGTACAGCTATTTTAATACAAAGGATTTCTCTGCTTACCTTAGTACCGACTGTCCTTAGGAAGGTAGAGTAAGGAAGGGTAAGTGGAAATAAAGAACAGGTTGTTAGGACAAAGACAGCATTAACAGAAAGTACCATGTTAGTAAAAGCAAGAAGCGGGGAGTGCAGAATATAACACGAATTGCCAACATCTCCTCCTCTCCCATACCCCGTCTTCCCTGCCTTCCCTCTTTGGGGGCCCAGATAAAAGCCCCTAGGAGAGACTCCCCACCCATCTCCATGGGTTTCAGATGAGACTCAAAGATGGATCAAAACAAAGGACCTGGGAGTGATTGGAACCAGTGAAGCATCTCACCCCTCCCACCGCCCTGACCTTAACCAGGAAACAGGAGTTGGATGTGGGCCTGCCAGGTCAGATGCTGCCCGTTAGACATGCACAAGTGAAGTACGCAGTGCTGAACGGGGAGAGCGGAGAGGAACATCTGACCCATGGCCCTGCTGCCAGCAAGACAGCCTGGCTGCAACCCTGGGAGCGCAGAGAGCTAGAAAAACAACTTCACACCTTTGGGAGAAACGGGGTGGGGAGCCATCATTATGTCCGCGTTTTCATAGAAAAAAAACCCCAAAACACATGAAGGAAGAGTATTGGAGGGAGGTCATTCTGTCCAGTGGTTCTCACACTCCGTTTTCGTAACCCAATACAGAGCCTCACCACAGTAAAACTGTTACTTTAGTCAATCAGAGACACTTTGGATGTGAAAATACTCAACTCCTTCCTAACTGAAACATATTGCTCATTAGTAATTTGTCCAACAACACAGCCCTTCACCTTTTTTAGAAGATCTTTGTAGCTCCAGGGCGTGTTGTTTCATAGGAATAACAATCTTGTAGCCTGGATTCAAATCAAGAAAATATGTATTTTGGATCTCAAAGTCCTTTCAGCTCTAGTGAGAGGCCTGTGGACTATGTGAACTCTCTCCTTTGCAGGTGAAGGTCTTTTCTGCTGTATCCAGGCCATACCCTGCCCCACTCTGAACTGGTGCAGCAGACCAGAATTTTGAGTATTAAGGTGAAGAGAAACATCAAAAGGCAAAAGTGACCCATGTGTTGCAATGTTCCACCTCTTCCACCAGTAGTGGTGTGCTGAGGAGCAGGTGGGCTTCCAGCATGGAGTGGAAGAGGCTTGAATGTTTTCGGACCCATCACCGTACACACCTCTTTAGCACCATCGACCTCACTATTGCCTACTGTGGAGCTGCTGTAATGGCCAGAAGGCTGAAAAATGCTCTTTACTTCAGTTGTTGGCCTCTCTTGGGGCTGTAAAACATGATCACGGTTGACTGCAAGCCTGTACTCTGTGGGCCACAGCATTGCTCCAGTGTTTATTCCTGGTTTCACCCCCCTGCCCCATCATCCTGCTACAATTTTCTGTGGTATCTGGGAGTTGTGTGTTGAACTCGTGTACTCCTGAGCAATCTGCTCTAACTGACCTTGCTTGAGCAGGGAAGATGGACTAGACAATCTCAAGAGGTCCCTGCCAACCTCAGCTATTCTATGCTTCTGTGTATGGTGGACAGGACCGAGGAACTGAACTTGCTTTAGGATACCCAACAAAAATAAACCAGCCACTTTCATCCCCACTGGCTTGATCAGACAGCCCACAATAGAGTTGTGCCAGCAAAACTGCTGTGCAGCAGCAGCCTGGAAAGAAAAACAGTGAAAGGTGTAGGGAGGAGGAGAAAGGGGACCGCTTAAGCCAGGACTTCTGCTTGAAGAAGCGTTCATCGATCTGTGCCCTATGGTCGTTGCTCAATTTAAATTAGTGAGGTAGGTAAAGCTCATTTGACCACAACACTCTGAATCTGACCCACTTTCACAGCACAGGGAGGCCAAACTCAACACTGGGCATCACGTGGGCCCCATGACTACGAGGATGGGAATCTGATGCTGGGTAAGAAGGTGCGAAATGTAGTGGACTGTGCCCTGACCTGCTTTTTCATCTCTGGACGTGAACTCTAGGGTGTTGGCAGGTGAAGTGTAACTGCCTGGAGAGGTAAATGGCATGCAAATGCTTCACGCCCCCATTGTGTTGGAGGAATTAGGGGCTGTGTCATTTCTACCAAAAACAACTGCTCTTACCACAGAATTCTCCGTTTTTATCGTTTTGACTTGTAAGCAATCCTCCATGCTCCTTGTGGTGCTGTTGGCCTCGGGGCTCTCCTCTGAAACCTTGCTGCTCTGCTTGGCACTTGCCTCGTTGTCCCCATTTTCCTTGAGTAGAGGTGGCCTCGGGTGGACATCGTTGCGCTGCTTCTTTGTGACGTGGGCATCAGGCCCGTGCACGGTCTTGACATGCTTCCTGAGGGAACTGGGGTCTGTGTACCGCTTTGTGCAGCCAGGGATTTTACAGACGTAGGGTTTCTGTCAATACAAGTAAATCTTGGGTTATACTTAGAGCAAGCCCAGATATTCCAGGTACAGTGTATGGGCCAAGAAAATACAATCAGCATAGCGGCTGGCAGCAGCAAAATGTGGAGCTTCTGCTGCACAGGATTCTGTAAGGCTGAGATCTCTAAGATGTGATCTATGGGCTGCTGCTGATCCTCACAGACCTGGCCAGCCATTTGATGTTGGCTAAACTCCCTGTTTTCAGTTTCCGGATTAAAAGACAGCTAAGAATTCATGAAATACTTTCCTAATATTACTTTCCCATGTATGTATTTGCTCGGGTGGCCACAGGAATGTTTCCTGATTACGGATGGGAGGGAGGTGATGTATGGGATTGGCCGTAAACACATTCTCTCTGCTAAGGTGGGGTCTACATGGAGAAAAAGTCTGAGACCTTCTGGCTGATGGAATTCCAGAAAAACCAAGCCAGACTGGATTCACCCTACCCATCTATCACACCAATCCAGCACCTGTCACCTTGAAATCTGTTATTGTGCAAAACAAACCACAGGCATGCAATGTTTTTTTCAGATGATAGCATTCTAGTCCCAAATTCATGAATCATTGATTGCCACAGGAAAACAAGGCTGAAGCCATGCTTCTGAAAACAGAAGTCAGCAAACAGATACTTTTCTTCTTTTAACTTTTTTTTTATTGAGTTTCCAATTCCAAAGTGTATTAGCGCTGCAGTGGTTTGAGCTGGTGCTGCTGTGCTGGAAGCTCTGAATTCATCACAAGTTCCGCTTTCAACCTCACAGCTACTCTCAGTACTTTTCTACCAATGCACTAGGAGAGATCCATGAAAAAAACCAGACAGGTGTTGTTCGAAGGCTACCCAAAATGACCATTCCTATTCTTTCTTTATCTGTTTTGTAATTTTGTCCAGAAGCTTAAGTGAAAAAATAAAAAGGGGTATATATTCTTTGCAGAAAGCCAGCATCATCACACGAAAAACACTGAAAGTCTGTTTTTTATTCAAAATCATGCTTCCTGACTGATCTTGGCACATCACTTGAACAAACCAAATCCTCAGAACACCCCACTCAGGTAAATATTTAATATATTTTAAATCGGGGTAAACCAAAGCACAAAAAGTAAAATAGTTTGTATATAAATCTCACGTAACCTTTTGGATGAGGCATTATAGGAACATCATTGCTGCTATTAAAACCTCTTCCAAAGAACAGAACTCCCACCACACATGCTAAAAAACCCTACTTAAAACAGTTCAAGGGCTTTTTATAAAGATCCTTTAGGCCGAATAGTTCTGATTTTTCAGACACCGGTAGTTAGGGTAACACCATCACTGTTACTTGGACAGTAGACACTCCACCTAATGGGGTATAACAATCCTCTTCATCAAGCCGTACCTCCTGCAACTGAACTGAGCACAACTGCTGTTTTGTTGGCATACCTTCATATATCCCCTGGGGTTATCCAGTTTCTGACATCTCATGCAGTGTATACCCTAGTGAAGTCAAAAATCTGGATATCTCAGATGCCTCCCTCCTTCTCCCATGCACATACAGCGTAGCACTCCTTAGGGTGGGAGAACTGGAGAACTCCTCAGGCACTCAGCAGAACTGAATTTCTGCAATTTACCCTTGTTTAGCTTAAATTGGAGAAAACGTCACTCTGAGCCTTTGGCTGGCCATGAACTCCTAGCATTCTTTTATGTATGCACTGGAGAGCGGTCACCAGGGTGAAAGCCCTTTTTCCCGGGAGTAACTTTGATAGTATCCATTGAAGGGAGTCAAATTGTCAGTGAGGGTTTAAAATTAAAAGCGCTGGTGACATTACAACAATCAGACAAAAGCCAGTATGGAAATATATCCCCAGCCTTGAACTTCGGCATGTTGGACCATACACCCACATCCTGTCACAGAATGATGGAGGCAAATACAGGAAACCTGGAACTTTCCCCTTAGAGGAGACATGGATGACTAACTCTGAAACTGTGGTGTATCCCAAGCAAACACTGCAAGCAGAGGAAAATCTTTAGTAGGTAGCTAGGAAACACAACAGAGTTACCAGTGGATAATGGGAAATACTCACAGCCACAAACTCCTCATTTGCATCCACGTGGGTTTTGTGAGCCAAGGTCTCAGTGCAGTTTGCTAACCCACTGCTCATGGCCCCAGCTAGTTGCAGGACCCTCACCCGGGCCTACTGCCCAGTGTAATGGGCTCTGCCATGAGGGATGTCATCTGTTGCAAAGGATCATGTTATATGTTCCTCAGAAAGAGAGTGTCAAAAATACAGCCCAGAGAGCCATTATATGCAGCCTACAGATCTCCCACAAGTCTTGGAGCATGCTGTGTTGCACTAAGGAGGGTTGAACAGCAGTTCAGATGTAAGCATGATCGCAAAACTTGAGATCGTGCACGGCCATGTAGTTCCTGTGGTAAGGCTCAGCTGGTCTGGAAAAAATCCTTCACTAGTGGCTGTGCTGCTTCTGCACCTGAGAAGGCTTTGGTATCCTCCAGAGACAGCAACAGCAGAGGATAAAATTCCTATGTCTTATCTGAGTCTTTAATTTGTGTGGTTGGATGCAGCATGTGCCAAGTGTCAGCATATTAGTTCAGAGTCCACCATATACAAGAAGCTGAATGCTTCTGCCCTACCGCCTCACCTTCTTGCACAATGGGAACCCAAAGGAGAAGACCTTCAAGTGTGTACTAGCTCTGCTCAGACGAAGTGAGGAGTCATCCCAGATCCAGTGCAGCTCCTGATCTGGATCACTTGGGAAACTGAACCCATCAAAGAAACGACATTTAATAATACAGCCAAAGCCAAAATTCCACTTGTAGGAACATGGGACACCAGCTGGCCCAACACAAGGGAAACTCTGGCCTGCCTAGGATGGATCCTGGAAAAGCTCTAGGGAATCTGAGCTCAAGTGATCTACGGACAAAAAGTAGCTCACATTCTGCTTCACTGTGTGCATACTGGGCACAATGATTCTGTATCCAGCACTGAAAGTTATACCAGCTGTCTTGATCCATCCATATGAGAATCCTTAGGGATGGAAGAGAGATGCAAAATTGATACAAGGACGGGAAAGAATGTTGTAGTAATGGGAATCTTCAATTGCTTGATTGACTTATTTAGTTTATGAGAAAGAAGATGGGAAGTGACTTAACACTGAAGTGTTATGAAGTGGAAAAAACAACAATGAAAAGGACGTTGGATTCGGCGCTGGAGAAAGGCAGAGAAAACATCCAGGGCTGGACAACAAGCAGTTTCTAATACCTGAAATGTGAGATTAAATCGTGACTGCCTATCTTTCAGGGGAAGAAGCTTCAACAGTAAGCCAATGAAGTTGTCGTCAAACACCTGTTACTGGGAATGCAGATTACTGAGCAGATGGGAGGTTGCACATCTTGTTGGTCCCTCCTGGCCTCAAGTGTAGCCTTAAACCAATCCCAAACTACCCAGCACTAGTGTGGATATGGCTTAATTCTAACCTGTGCCCTCCTGGGGAAGTGGCTCACTCGTGAAGGACAATCCTGATATTTTCATTCCTACCCAAACCAGTTCAACTAACACTGGGATCCATAGCCGCATCACACAGCACAGAAGGGCATCCTAGACTTTGAGTCCTTATTCTGACTGCAACAGAATCTCTGAAACCTACAGAGCTTTGGTTATCAGTGACTGATACTAGGCCAGAGACAGCAATACTCCCAATAAGCCCTTTGCAGACACGGCATCACTTTAAACAGTTGTCATCTGTGGCAATTGTGTTCTGTTCTCCAATAGTCTATATTTAACTGTTGCAAATTAGGCTACAGACTGAATTCTTCATGGCTGCAAACACCATTAGAACTTTGGAGTGTTGTTTTTTCTCCCCCTGTCAGCTAATTAGCGGTAATATAAATTTCAATCGTCGTCTGTGGTTGATTGCAACAGACCATCACATGCGTTACAATAAAGGCAATTTCCTCTGCTCCCCAACTACTAATAGTGGGTCTTAATTAGCTGGGGTTAACAAAGCGTTGCATTGTGCTCTATCATCGTACATCAAACGATGGAGGGAGTATTATTTCCAGAGCATCAGGATCCAGGGTAGCTGTTATACTACTGCAAGCCTGTTCCACAGTAATATTAAACACCACGTGCACAACTGTACAATCCGATTTGCACTATTAAAATTATAAATTTGGAAAATGCTTGCTTTAATTTCCAAAGCCGATTAAAAAGTTTGGATACTTTAACATCTGTTTATGATTTCAAACATGGCTTTCATAAATATAAAGCTAACGTGGTCTGGCTCTCCAGCAAAATAAATCCCATTAAAAAATAAGAAAAACCTCTCATTACAGTAGGTTTCTTTTTACATGAGTCCAGCATGTAAAGTGTATGTTTATTGTCAGCAAAATTGAAAAAAAGCCCTCCGTTGAGCTGTGGTGAGCACAGGCTTACCTCATTGGAATGCGTCCTGTTCTGGTGCTTGGCTCTGTCCGAGGCATTGGAAAAGGCTTTATTGCAGCCTTCGTGTTCACAGACGTAGGGTTTTTCTCCAGTGTGGGACCTCAGGTGTGTCTTTAAGTTCTCCAGGCGGGAATAGGCTTTGGAGCAACCCTCAAACTAAAATAAAAAAACACAAGAGGAGTGATTAATTAACCAGAAAAATTTCATTTTCCCCCTGCCTAAACCCTTCTCATCTGTTTCTCATTCTTTCTTTTTTTCTTCCCTTTTAAAGGGCTTGTGTTTTAGGGAACAACATCCACTTTGTTAGGAGAATTCGCTTCCCTAGGCAGGCTAAGAGTTTCAGCAGTGAGTCATATTTAAGGTGCTGCTCCTTGTTGGGTACCCACCTGACATTTCAACAAGAGACTTATTTTCCATCTGGGTTGAACACCTCTCCCCCCAGGGCTCTCTTATCCCCTCCTGCCATCCCTCTGCAGCTAACACACTCAGAAATGGAGGCCCTCCCCTCCCAGAGAACTGATGGCTTCTTGACAGTTTGACCAACCTTGCAACTTCACCAGCACCACCACTGGAAAGACCAGACCGTTCTCTAACACACAAGTAGAAGTCTAGCAAGCTTTGAAGTTTCCCAAATTACAGCTTGGGTTTACTCTCGGAGGATGCTGTGGTCAGGCTGTCTGACATTACCAGTTTAAAAAACAAGCTCTCAATCTTGAAGACAGATGGATTTTTGGATGACAAAACAGGCCAGGAACCTTCGTCCTGGAAAGAAACCAGCTGCCCACACAATGAGAAGTAGCAGCTTGGGAGACATGGCGAGGCTTCGGGTGGTGTGAGTCCTGCCACCCTCCACTCTGGCTGGGCTGGAGGCTTCTCCCTGCACCTGCCCTGTCTGCAGCCTAGGAGGGTTTCACCTCAAACCAAGGAGGCTGTCTTAAATGCTCTTTGCAAAACAAGTGGGACCTTACAAACATTGGAAGGAGTTTTAAGAAATGCAAGGCTCCCTTCCAAATTCCAGTTAACGCTGCACCCGCTGTGCAGCTGGGAGCATTGCACAGCCCATGCGCTACTTCCTATTCAAGCACCTTAAAACACAAGTCAAATTTCAACAAGCAGCCCCTCCTGTTGTAATGTGTGCAAGCTGCAAGGTGTTGTGTTTTGGTCAAATTACTTAAATCTGTCTACATGTTCAGTCCAGATGTGACAGAACTTCACATTGCTATGTTTGAGCCTCAGCCAGTGAAGAAACTGGTGTCATAGCAGGACGGGTCATGCCACAGTTTAATGTCTGATTTCCCTGTGGGCAGCTGAGTGGTCCTACGTGTCCAGAGGTCTGGCTTTTTTGGGCAGAAACCAAAGGCAGCTGCATGAAATAACATCGGTACCTGTCTCCTTGTGCTCCAAAAGCGCAGGACTCACCTGCACTGCTAAGGAGCGAGCCAAACATGCAGCCCATGAAACCCATGAAACACATAGGCACAGGCTGGTCTCATGTAACTTTGTTCTGGAAAAGAAGTAGAGCTACTCAAGCTTCCCTTTAAGGTCTAACATAGGGATGGTGGACATACGGCAAACTTGCTCTTCTCTCTTGAGATTTCCAGACCTCTTCAAGGAGAGTAGGAGCATCCTGCAAGAGCTGATGCTTTCCACAGCTTTCTTGGGCTGGGATGGATCCATTTACCTTTCCTCAGACAACTTTCATTAGCCAATTTGGCCCACAGAACATGCCATGACTTCGACGTAGCACAGTATATCCCTTTCTTCTCTTGCCCTGTGCAAATAGTCCTTTACAACTTGAGTTGCTTACGGTTATTGAAATACACCATTCCACTTGCTGGAAAACAAAGGAAACTCAGTACGAGGCAACTCATGTGTCCATTCTGGTTTTGCTGGATAATGACACAAAAATGCAGTTATTGAGAGCAAAAGTACTGAGGCCACATTTTCAAATGAGAGCTTCTAAGGAAAGCAGCCTGTGCATGTTCAAAGCAGTTGTTCCCACTCTTACGTGTGGATTTGATTATGTCAGTGGGAGTTCTGGCTGTCATCTGTTGAAATAATCCTTGACCGAATCCTAGGCTGCAATTGGGCTCATCTGTAGCTTTATGTACACCACAAACTTCTTGTCTGAAACAAATGGCACTTCAAAAAATCACTGCCAGACTTGGACAAGGAATGCTCTGCCACAGAAGGGCACCATCTGCAGAGTTGCCGTGTATCCCAAGCTATCGGAAACCAGTGGTACTCCAGTTCAGGAGAGTTGTTGCGACATATCACACATGGAGGGACTGCAGTTCTCCAGAAGGCAGAGGAGGACTCGAGAATCAAACACGCACAGCCTTGCCGTTACTCCCATGCGACACAAGTGAGGCTGGAAAGAGGCGGGATTGTGCAGTGGTGCTTTTTCCTGCTCTGTTACAGCACTGACAAAGATGCAGTCCCTGCTGCTTTTTGATTTCTGAGTGCCTCTACCTGCAAGGGTAGGACTGGACTTTCCCTCACTGCTCACTTCGTAGCACACCAACAATCAATATTCCTTGATACTTTTAAGGAAGATTGGTAAAGCACTAGAACTGGGTAAAGTGCTTTAGAAGATTAAAACAAAGGACATGGCCCTGGGCCCTGGGGAACTTATGGTCTAAATTAAATGAACACAGGGCTGGAAGATTGATAAAGGAGTCATGCAGCAAGCAAATCATACATATCCTAATATTTGTAAGCAGGAGCTGATGCAGAGCCAGGGAGGGAGCAGGGCTGGAAGTGACTAATGGAGCAGAAGAGGAGGAAGATATGGGAGGAGAGCTCAGACATCTGCCGAGCAGAAAAAGAGACTCATCCCCAAGGATCTGGGGAGATGAACAGCGTGATGCTGACAGCAGAGGAGGTATGAAAAACTGGCAGGAGGAGAAGACCGGGAGCAGAGCATATCAAAAGACATGGATGGGCTTTCAGGAGTAAAAAGGGCTGATGCATATATGGAAAGAGATGGCGAACAGCTCTCCTCTCCTATCATCTAGCCACAGCCACTGAACTCCACAGGCTCACTTCTCTCTCGTGCCCCCCATCAGGCACCCTTGGCTGCCCACATCAGCCAGCAGTGCTGTGGGAGAGTCCATGCGTGAGCGCAGACATGGGCTTTAATATCTCGAGGTTGAGAGGGAGGTGAGCCCAGCCCTCCCATGTGCTAGATGAGCCTGTACCCACAGGGCTGAGACACGAATTAACATTCCATGCTCTTCCTCAGACAGTGTTTAACTAAGTACAGTGCTGCTTGCATGCAGAAGGTCTGGGGACTAAGCTCCTCTTGGGGTTTAAGCATCCAGTGGTTGACCTTACCTTTGGATCAAGAGAGCAGAGGCAGGAGGTGTTTGCCTGGCATTCCAGGCTGGAAGGAGGCTTTTGTGCACACTCAGGTACGTGGATGAGGGAAACTTGCAGCCCCAGCAGCAGTACTGGGTGATGTTGAGTTAGACATGACCAGGGTCAGGTGGTTCCCTGCAGTGTGGGGTTACTGGATTTCCTTCTTGGATGTAAGTAACTAAATTGACTGGTTTCCCACTTGAAGTGACTTATCCTGAGTCACTCTGTTTCTCTGTGGTAGAGCTGAACCCATTTTGCCCAAGGAAACGCAAGTTTGCCCACTAACACCTCGACCATCCTCCTTGGTTCCTTCCCATTCCCCAGGGTGTAAGCTGCAAGTGGCTCTAACCCGGACACAGCAAGCTGCACTGGCCCTGAGCTGGGTGCCGGCAGGTACCGTGGGAGAGCCCTGCATGAAGCCATGTCTGTGTCTGCACACACACTTGTGGGACCACCAAAGGCCAGTGTCCCACTTGCCAAGCTGAGATGCACCATCCCTGCCAGCTCACCGTGCACTTGTGTGGCTTCTCTCCAGTGTGCCTTCGCATGTGCACCACCAGCATGTACTGAGCCTTGAAGGGCTTCTGCTCCCTTGTGCAGTCCTGCCAGCGGCACACAAACTCCTTCTTCTCCCCGTGGATGTGGTCGTTGTTGATGTGCTGGTAGGAGAGAAGGGAAAAGCAGGTCACTCCTGGAAAAGCCAGGTGCTCTGCAGGCCAGCACTTCCCTCCCCAGTGCTTGCGGTCAGGCATTGCACCTGGGTCCCAGGTGCACAGATGACACCAGGGACACGGGAGCCAGCTCTGCAGTCTGGTGTGTCCTGCAGGAGAAGACACTCAGCACACCAGGCGCTGGGTCCAAAGCAGCTATAAACAGAAGGTTGGCAAAAGCAATGGGGACCCTTGGCACCAGCGAGAGAGGAGCCCTCCCTGGTGCCACTGTTGGGGAGGATGACAGAGTCGTTTTTGTCTCTGCCGAACCCTCCTGTGCTGCATTTACGCATCTGGGACCCTTTCCTGGGGGGCTGCTGGAGCAGGAGGAGACAAGCCTCAGTTGGGCTCGATCTTAAAGGTCTTTTCCAATCTAAATGGTTCTACAAGTCTATGATTCTTCTGTGCCAGACCCTACGCCGGCCCTAAGACATCCACCTGCTGTCCAGCGCTGGCGGCTGGCAGGAAATGACAGCATCTGTGAGCTATGCGCCAAGGAAAACGCGGCAGCCTCAATTACTGCTAATTACTCGGGTCCGTGAAATCCTGTGCTGGGGTGTTGAAAAGCCAGACTCAGAACAGTGCCTTCATCCACCCTGGGAGGAAGACGAGGGTGGCTTTTTCCCAGCCCAGGGCAGATGAAGCCCTGCCGAAAATAAACAGAGCCGGAGACCAGCCCGTCGGCAGCACTGTTCCCGTGGCGGCCTTGTCTCTCTGAATGGGGTCTCGCTGCCAAAAATAATGCCTGTCCTCGCTCCTGTGTTTTCAGCAGACAGTCACTGACAGGAAATCCTAAAATAAACCACTTTGGGTTTGGGTTTTATTTTTTCGACGTTGAGATTTTTTTCCAGCCCCTGCCTTTGTCCCCCTGGCCAAGGCCAGGCACACATGTTGTGGCTCGGGTTGAGACTTTCTTGGGGTGGTGAGGCAGCATGAGGACACAAAAACGCAGTAACACAGAATCACCGACCTTCACAGTCCCAGTGAAATCTAGCCCCAGAGTTTTGTGTGCTGTGGCCCAGTCCTGGGGACAGGGACCTGCTGCTTGGGGCACCAGGTCTACTGAGGTGCAAGAGGAGGCACATGGTGCTCAGCTGGTCCCATGGGCACCACAGACGAACACCAACAGCCAAAGCCGCGTGCTGAGAGGGTTGGAAGAGGCTGGGTGTAGGAGAGGTTTTGGATGGGTTTGGAGTTCATCTGCCTATGGTTCTGGTTTTAAAACATGGCACTGGTGTGAGATTCTAGCCTCAGATGGTGGAAATCTGGTGAATCGCCCAGGATACCCATGGACACACTAAACCACACCCAGACCAGACTCGGAAGACATGTCTCCTGGCTCTGTTTGCGTGGGAATCTGACTTGCAACCAAGACTATGCACAGCAGTGCTAGGAGTGGGGGAGTGCACAGGCTTGCCTGTTCAGTCCTGCTTGGGCCAGAGGAAGACACATTTATGGGAGGGGGACTGTAGCCCCCCTTCAGGCTTATTAGCTCACTGTCTGGGCAACATCTACTTCCCATCATACGATGGAGGAGCAGTTGCACAACTCACCACACTCAGCCATGGCTCCACAGCTCCCATCAAAGCCCCATCTGGCTGGAGGATTTTCTTCGGCTTCTCCCAAATTGTGAGTGTGACATTCCAGACTGGGAGCAACAGTGGTACTTGCAAAAATATGTCCTCCCTCCTGCTGTTCCCTGTTGACACGTGCTTCTCCCATGACCACATTGCCCACTGTGTATGGACAGCAGACCCTACACGCCCAGGTACTTTCCTCTGCACAGAAACCAGAGTTTTTCCATGCAAGATGGGATGCCATCTTCTCAGAAGTTGGCCCACGACATCTGCATTTCATTTGCATGTGTATTCTGGGCATCCCAAATCCACAACCCCATGTTACTAGTAATCATAGTACAGAAACCTCTGTTTTTATAACCTTCTGAATTTAGGAAAATCTTTGGACATTCCGTCAAATATTTTTCTTTGGGTTTTCTCTGGAAATAAATTGTGCTGAGCTGCCTGGATGTGCCCTGCACTTTGCTCTGGGCAGAGTTAAAGAGCTTTTCTTATGTCTGGGAGGGAAATGCACGAATACTGCTGGACAAATGTGAGCCCAGCCCATCTGACAGGGCTGCTGTGGTTTGACCCCAGAAAAGCAATGCCCCATGTCATGCCATGTGCAACCCATTAAGCACCTTATCACTCATTTGGCCCTGAAAACCATTTCCAAATCTGTCTGTACTCAAGGACTTATTGCACTGAACCAGTGACTTCTGGCAGAGGTGGGCAGGTGCTAGCCTTAGATGGAAGAAGAACACATATACAGAATTATCATTTAGAGTGTGATCCCTCTGGGCTAAGATAATGTTTGTGTGCAGAGCCTGGGGAAACGGAGACTGACACCTAACTGGTGGCATCTAAACATGGCTAAAATGTGGATATATAAAAAAGGATGAAGGCAGACACGAGCCCGCAGGAAGAGGGCTACACATGAGTTGCACATGGATGGCCCCTGGCAGGCTTGCAGCCTGGCTGGGGCAAGTAGCAAAAGGTTGAAGGGAAAGGAGAAGACAGCAGGTTCTGTCACACAGTTTGCTCGATCCAACATTTTGCTGCAAGCAGCAAGTTTTCTGGGGCAGGTGAAATCCCAGCAGCTCTGGGCTGGCTTCAAACAAACAGGGCTTGCACCACAGACCAAAAATGAGGACTGAGAGGGAGCTGGGCTAGGGGCAGGGTGGGTCTCAGACAAAGATCATGTCTGATTTCACAGGGACTCACTCTGATTTTGTGGGATTTTTTGACCCAAGAAGCCAAAGGAAACTAAACGATGGATTCCCAATTGAAGCAAAGCACATAAAAAGTTTTGGAATTAATTAGAATTGAAAATCTGATTAATGGCTTGGTTTGGGGATCTTTCAGAGAGCAGTTTTGACACTGGTTTGGGGACATTATTGTGATTACCGAAGCCTTATATCCCACTTTTTAAAAAATCGACCCACTTTCACTGTTTCAGACCCTGATGGAGACACTGGAGCATATCTCCAAACTCTGAAAGTGTTCTGTTTTTGTAGGAGGGATGAGCTGAGCAGGTCAACAGCCCCTAAGTGCTATGACCCACAGCTCATACCACACCAGCATAAAAGGATTTCATGGCCCAGACAAGTACTGAGGACAGTTTGGATGATCCCTGACCCATAGCTGGTGTAGGTGTGTGGGGAGGCTCAGTGAATACAGCCAGCGAAGAGGAAAAGGCTCAGCCTTCTTCCCCATTTTCTGCTCAGGTCCTCTGCACAGAGCCTTCTGTCATTGGGTCATGCACAAGGGAGACCAAAACTGCAGCCTCAGCAGCTGAGAAGAGAGAAACATCAAATAATCTATGAGAGGCTTCGTGCAGTTAAACTCCTTGGGGAGCAGCGACCTGCTTTGGCAGTGTTTACACACCGTATCTCTGATTTGCACCTTTAGTAGCTCCCAGAGTGAGCTCTGGCTGTACAGCAGCTAGTGATAAAAAATGAGGACAAGTGCACAGAAACCCAAATTTATCGCTGGGGTTTCCTCCCAGCCATTACTCACATGGACGAGCTGCTCTTGAGTGTCATATTCCTTTGTGCACCCTTCCCAGTGACAGTTCGTCTCATAAATAACCTCAGGCTCCTGTTTACATTCATCCTTATCTAGATCTTCTTTCAGGTCTGTCAGATGCTCCTGCAACACACAACGGTGCATTGTATAAGGTGAACTTTTTTCATCTGAATTCCTCCATCACTCATAGATTACAGGGCAGGTATCAACTGATCACAAAACCGTGCTCGTTGTGGCAATATAACATCCTTGATTATTATGAAATAATGAGTTACAGAGTTTTGGTACAAATGGTTCAGAGTTAATGACAAGACATGAAACACCACAAAGCCATGGTTGCAGAGGCGCCTGGCTCCAGCCAGGTCGTGGGCAGTTCCAGGAACAACTGGAGAAAGGAAAAGACTGACTTTTGACTTTTGACTTTTGGTTGTGTTCTTTGCTGGAGCAAAACTTCTAATCTGAGGAGAGTGGGGAAACAAGAGCATGAAGAAACCACAGAGCAGTCAGACCCTAGTGGCTACCACACTCACCTGACATGGGTTGGGGAGGGGGGATCCTGTTTTCTGCATTTTTCAATAGATGAGAAAATTATACCTAATCCTTACCCAAAGATTTATGCCTGCAGGGTGCTCCACAGGGACAAAGTGGTGAGCCCTCAAAGTACTCCTCTGAGACAGTGAAATTTGGGAAGCTAGAGCTAGACTCAGTGATGAGTGGGTTGCAGAGCAGAGCTCCAGGGGCTCTGGACTCATAAATGAGTTACTTTAATGCTGGGCACGCTGTGAGCTCCCTCCTTTCTCTGTCTAGCCAGCTCCTCAGTGCTAAAAGAAGCAAGAAGATTTTTGTTATGGCTGCTATGAGGATTAAAGCATCAGCACCTACACAATAATGTAACATACAACATGATTAGTACAATTCAGAGGTAAGGACAACTGCTAGCTCTGCATGCATCAGACACTTGCATTACAGAGAAGGCAATCAGGAGTCAATATTGACTTGGGAATTTAGCAATACAAAGCCCTGCAGGTTTCAACCTCCATCATTTCCTTTCCTCCCCATTACTACTACTGCCTCTCACAGAGCACCCCACCTCCAGGGCAGCTTTAGACAGGAGCGTCTCGGGTGACTGACCACATCAGAAACAGTTCTTCACGATCTGATGCTTCAGTTGGCCCCATAACCATGTAGACACAGCCAGACCCATCTCAAACTGCCTCTGACCTGCCCAAATGGACCTATCTGGCTGTTGTCTCCTTCCCCACCAACACCTTGCCAATGCCTACTGAGGGACTGCAATGATTAGTGTCTTAATGGCTTTACATGGCTTGGAAAGTGAGATGTACTGTACAAAAGTTCAACAATTTTCATTAACTAGCTCATGACATACATGCCAGCTGTGACTTCTCAATTCAAAAGTTTAGGTAGAGGAAAAGATTTGTTTTAATTAGCTCTTAATTTAAAAAAAAATATTGTAAGCTGGGTCTTGGGACAGGGAACTGTAGTAATTTACACAAAGACTTCTGGAGATTCAAACTATATCAGACCCCAGAGCAATAGTGTGAGAAAGTTCAAACAGCAGCTTCTTTTTCCTTCAATTCCTATTTGGCTGAGCAGTGAACATTATTTTTGTTGAAATGTTTCTCTCCATGCAAAGTGTGGTCTCTGGAAAAGTGACATTTTCTACTAAAAATTTTTGCCAAAATTTTTATACTTTCTGTTGGAAAAATGGAATAGAAACCATCTTATTTCATTGAAGAGGATTGACTTGTTTCATTTCTGGCTAGTTCACTGTCAATCTGAATCTGTACTGGAGCTATTGTGGTATCTTAAGAGCACAGTAACTCAGGTCCCTCATGCCTGGTGCTCCACTGTGTCCCACAAATCTTTTCTTGATTGCATTAGTTATAGCACAAGCCATCACGGGAGATGCTGTCTGGCCAAGGATTTTAAACACTCAAACCACAACTCACATGAGGTTTTTCCAGTACAGCATTTCCAAAACAAAACACACACATGCAGGCTTTTTTTGGGACGGCTGAGCTTCATGTTCTGCGAAAAATGTATCAGTCAGTAATTAACTGACTATAACTCAACTTTTCAGCACAGTCTCCTGCAGAATAGGAATCCCCAAATTTAACAAGTTGCTGTCACTTAGACCAGCTGAAGAGGAGACACCCACTACATTGAGTCTTATAACCTGTTCTTCTTGCCAAGAACGGGCTGTCTCTTACAAGGTGCTTTCCAGTGATTTCCCAGTCAATACTGAAATGCTGCAAGATGTGAAGCCTACATTTCCCTTGGGATATTACTTCACAGATCTTCTTATTAGGGACTGTTAGATGACCAGTGTGCATATTCCTTCCCTTAATTTGACCTTGTTATTCTAATCAAGCCTCCTTGCACGACTTTAAATGATTCTCCCCTTTCTTTCAGTGCTTATTTCACAGAAGGCCCAGTGGATGAAACTCTGGGGCAGGTCTGCAGGGTTGAGCCAGGCTAATGCTACCCAAATATTCTGTGCTGGTGAGTGCACATCTCTTCACATTGGAGCAGAGAACGGAGGATGACAGTGATCAAGCAAGCAGCTGTCTGTCCAATGGCTCCTCTGCTACAGATGCTTAAGAAAGCAAATGATAGCTTTCAGACCTTTTTTCATTTGCTGCAAGAAATAAACACCACCCTATTAGCCCGGGTGGTGGCCAGATTGCTTTTTTGGGGCATGTGCTTTTGCAGCGGCATGTAGATACACTCCTAAACTCAAAGCTCCAGAGAGATGCCTCTTTGCCCTAATCGTGCTGACTACAGCATGTTTATCTTTCCCTGATATGCTATCTTCATCAATTTTACCAGCCCCCTGATGACTGCACACGTTGCTGTCCCCATGCATCATGCGGAGACCTGCTCCTGAACCAGGGCAGAAGGAGAAATTTGTCATCAACTCTTCCATTCGCTTGACAATAACATGGCCTAATATTTCATGAAAATGAAGTGCCCAGAGCACTCCTGATAGTTTACAGTTGTGATAAAGGACGGTCAGATGGATACTGTCAGCCATTAAACAGTTTGCAATCACAGAGCTCCAGAAAGAAAGCAAGGGCCTTTGGGCCCTTCTTGGTGTCAAATGTTGTGTCACCAGTGTAAAGGATGTTTCTAGGAGCAATTCCTGGTTGAATCAAGAAGTCATCCTTTTTTTGCAAGCTTTCTACCTACATGCAAGTTTCTCTCTTAGTCTATGCCTGTTCAGAAACACTAAAGCTGCTTTGCAGCAAGGAAAACTCAGACATCATTTTTAAAGTCATGACCCTTGAAATAGTCCCTCCCTCCTTTTTTTGTGTCCAAGCACAGCAACAGCAACCTGACTTCCAAGCACCCATCGAACGCGCCACTCAATCACTACAGCTCTGCCCTGTAGCTTGCTGGGCTTCATGCTCCAAGAGACACCCGCCTGCCTGGCAGACTTTGATGTCTTGCTTCCAGCTGCAGCAAAAGGTGCCAAGACTATCATTCCCAAAGGCAACGAGACCCAGTAGCTCACTGCCTTGGTCCCACAACATGTCTCGCACCAGGACGGTTACCTGTGTGGTTGGGGATGCTGGGAGCAAGCCCTCGACTTCAGTCTTGACTTTGCTGCGCTTGTTAATTACTGGATTGACTGTGCTGCTCACGGCCGACTCGCTGCTCTGCTTGCTCTAGGAAAGAAAACCAGGCAAGACATGGCACAGGGGTTTGGGATGTGAGACTGACTGCAGCCCACCTCTTCATCAAAAGTTAACTAAAAAATTAGTCAAGGTTGAACTTCAGGAGTGGCCAGGGACAACAGGGTATTGGCCTACTGGCCATAATTGCTGTGTGGGCTTGTGCAGGGCAGAGAGATGGAAGAGAGAGGAGAATCCAGAACAGCGTCAGCTTCTGCAGGCTCACCAGTGAGCTTGGTCTCGCTGCTGCTGCTTCATTTCAGAGCGATCCAGTCCCTGTCAAAACCATCAAATCTTATGCAACCCCCACTCAAGCCACAATTCTATTTCCCAATGCAATGAAATGATTTGCTGCGAAAATAAATTCCTGGGGTGAGTGGGGGACTCTGGTTACATGTAAGGGCTCCAGCACGCTGGGTGCATGAAAGGCTGTGTGTATATTTTGCTGAGCTCTTAAAAAATGTGAACAGCTTCAGGAGAAAAAAACATGCCATTGTATGTGCGTAAAATTGGAACATTAACATTTTAAATACACTCTTGCTAATTGCTCAAGATTGGTCCTGAAAGTTATTAAACAGAGGCATAACTCCTGCCAGCCACATTATTTTGGTAGCCAGTTTGTCAGAAGAAAACAAAACCAATCAATCAAATAACCTTCAATAACAAACAGAATTTGCAGTGCAGCAGCCATGAGAAACTCTAAAACAATAAACCAGTGTGAAAATTTCAGTATGATACAACTAAAACAACAATTAGAAATGAGTGTGAAATGAGGTGAAAGAAGCCTTTGGGGAGAAAAGTAACTGTGTATTTAAACTTCCAAGGAACAAAAATGGGAAGGTATGATTAAAAATGTGCTAGACATATTCGCTAACACAGTGCATGTGGAGGGCTTGTGCATACATGCATGTGCCTGTGTGAACTCACAGGTATTTGCACGGACACATTTGAGGTGTGGGATTTCACACACATCATGGCATTCCTAGTTTTCAGAATCCAGTCCCTGGTTTTTACAAACCCTAACAGTAAAAATCAACAGCAGGGATACCCCAAGAGAGAAAGCTACTGAAAAAGAAGGAACAATAAGTAAAATGGCTAGAGGTCCTAGGTAGGATGCACTTATTTGTTAAAGAAGAAAGCAATAAAGTGTTTTAAGACCATCAGCAGGGCTCACATCAGTAGAACAAAAGAAGGGGTGATTGGTGAAGGAACTGGTGAGGCCTGGTTCGCAGCGCTCGGGTGTTTATCTGGCAAAACACTCCAACATGTGCTGAATTCCCTTAATTTCAATAGCACAGAGCATACATTGAAGAAGATTTCCTGCCTGGGATGACCCTGCATAACATGTTCAATGCTTTGATGGATCAAGGCCTTTGGTTCCTGCATGGGTAGGTATGTGAGTGCGCAAGCAAGGGAGATGGGCGCAAAACTTGGCTATCACTAGTCCAGAAATGCTTTGTCAGAAGGAAGAAAAAAACGACATAAAGGAGAATGTGAGTAAAAAGAGAGTGGGTAAAACTGCCACAGCCACCATGAAGCACAGCGCTCACCCCATGGAGAGCATGTCTCCATTTCCCCATGAGCCATGCACGGGGAGAGCTGGGACAACCATCCCTACCTGGCTGGAGTCAGAGATGCAGTTGCTGTTGCTGCTGATCTGTGCTGGCGGCGGGTTGACGGAGATGACCGCCATGTGCTGGCGCGGGGGGAAGGTTGGGGATGGCTGGATCAGGGGAGGAGTGTGTCCGAAGGCTGAGCTCAGGCCCCTCTGCTGGGTCAGGATCTGCTGGTATGTCACGGGGTTAATGGGGTGGGGGAAGCTGAACGCCGGGCTGCAGGAATAGGAGGAGGAAAAATGATGATGAGTTATTTTAAACAGTATTTATCATATTGGCTAGCGACTGACTCAAGTTCGGCTTCCTGGAGACTCCAGGAGACAGGCTGCAATGTCCCAGTAGATGTCTTCAATGCCACAACAAGCCTGACAGCCTGCTTACCACAAAGACAGGATTCGTCTCGTGTGCCTCAGCAAACTTGTGAAGAGCTTCGACCTGACCCACCTGTCAGACTGACTGTAAATTCTTTGCTTCCTATGTTTAAAAAGACCCAAAGCCCTTGGCGAGGAGTGCAGAAGAAGGCCAGACTCAGACACACCTGGCTTTCCAGCCCCCGAGGCTCCTGAGTTTGCCCAGGCAGACCTATTCTGCAGACCCACAACCTTGGGGTTATGCTACCCTGGATACAAAAAACCAGCATCACCTGGCTCAGCTGGCACAGGTCACAGCGGGGATGAATAACTATCCATTTAACATAGTCCAAAACTATGCAACTTACTCTGCATTCAGCTGAGGCAAGTGCTGGCCCTGGGGACTGCTGAAGTATGTCACCCTTCGTATGTAGGTCACTGGTTCGGCTCCAATCTAGGTCAGCGGTGACCAGAAACACCACCAGCTCCTGCCTGCTTGGGCGCTAACGGGGGGCAACAGGTCTCAGCCAGGGTGCAGCAGCCAAAAGCCATAAAAATGAAGCGTTGCTTCTGGAAATAAGGGGTTCACTCCAAGGGGTGAGTCCCATTGCCAGAGAAGGAGAAGCATGGGAGATGCTCTGCTCCCTGTACGTTAGGTAGGTGATGCTTGAACCACAGACTCTCAGCCCTTAAATCAGCTATTTGCCACCTTTAAAAGGTGGCTGCCCCGAACTTTTACCCTTGTGGTATTTCCTCTCACATCACTAAATCTGCCCATGGAGTGAGTGCTCAGACAATGGCGCGATAATTAGCAACACGCTTCATTTCCAATTTTGCTTTTAGGGAAAATACTTATTGCTGGTGACCATACAATTAGTATTTCTGTTCCAAACTAGTTAATGTCAACTTGACCAAAAGAATAAAGGGCAAAAATCACCACAGTGTAAAAGAGCTCTGGGAGTTCAATACGTGCTGCAGCAAATGAGGTGTGATGGCAGGCTGCTGCACAGCTTTGTTATTCTACAGCAAAGTCTGAAAATGACTTTTTGACATGCTACTAGGATCTAGGTCTGAGCGGGCGAGAAAGGATTGCATTCCTGTCACTAAGACATTGTTGAAATAATAACAAAAAAGTCTTTTCACCCCAGATTGCTGACAGTTATCCTGTTCTATATGTAACCCATTTTACAATTCCCGACACTGAAGATAATACTTTTAGAACACCAAGAACAATTTCAGATTCAGTATTATTACTTGATTATTCCTTTGGAGGTCAACAAATGGCCAATGGATTAGACTCTGCACCCTACTGATTTGTTGAAAATACCAGATGCTGCCTCAAAAAGCTTAAAATCTGAGTATAAAATGAGAGATTAGAGCTATGCCCACTTAATGACAACAGGTGACAAGACTAGAAAAATACGATTCCCAGACAAGGAGTAGCTGTTTAAGTCAGCAGTATGTTTGATTCTGCAGTCAATTTCTAAGTGATGCTGCCGGATAAAGTAACCGATAAAATTAATGTTACAGTTACTAATGGTAATGTCTCTGTTTTCCCCTACAAATTTTAGGAGTGCATAAATTTATAAACCCTTGCTTTGCAACATCAGTGTTAATTAGAACTAAAATTTTGAACAGTTAAGTAATAAAAAGAACAATAACGTTGTGAAACTTGGGTGAAGCAATCACGGCAGGAATTGACAACAGTGAGCTGCCTAATGTAAGTGCTTTTTAATTAAGGTTTGAGCAAAACTTTACTCAAGGGCTTAGATTTGCTTTAAATATGTTTTTAGAATTAGGTTTTTAAATCCACCCAGGCAACATTTTTTTTTAAGGATGTGGCCCAATAATTTGGAGAATACTTTGGGGAAATCTCTTAAATCAGAGTGTTTCTTAATCAGTCCAACTGCTCACAATGAGCATTTTTTAAACTAATTTATTCTCTGCTTCTGCTTGGAGGGAGGCATGATCATACTGTAATTACTGGATGTCTGGTAACCAATAATCCCAATCCAGCAAGCAAACTGCTCCTCTGTCCTATGCCATGAAGTACCCTTCCATATGCAAAACCAGATGGGGGCTTTGATTTCATAGACTACACAGCCCCCCAATGCATAAAAGCAGAGGTTTCGAGGAAGGGAAGGTCTCCCTTGCTGGAGGGTCACCCCTCCTTTCGGAGGATGGTTACACAGCTGAACGAGCCAGTCTCAGAGCTTTACCTGATTGTCCCGGCGGATAAATGGCCGTAGGAGCCGCTCGCTGCTGAACTGCTTCTGGAGTTGTTGATATATGCCACGAGAGAGTTTGGAGAGGTCCTGATCATTGTCTGGAGGTCAATGCTGGCATCAGACAGCGGGGAGATAGACAGGGCTCGTTTTCGGCTTAATCTTGGAGTCACCCGGGGGCTCGAAAACCGAGACACTGTAAGAGAGAGAGACTTTGTCAGACAAAACTAGCAGGATGCTCCCTTCCTGCGGGAGCTTTGGGGGTGGGAGGCACTGAGACCTGCTGCACTCGTGACTGCTGCGGGATGCTCAGGAGCCAGGAGCAGTGCAGGGACCAGCTGCACTTTGATGGGAGGTTTCCTTTCTGCTGGGGGCTGAGTGACAAAGGTCAGGCAGCACCGCAAATGCCCGCTTACTTTGCCCTCCTTGAGGGATAAACAGAAGCCTGTCCATCACTCCCTTTCATTGGCACTAAATTAAGGTAAAATTAAAAGGGAAAAGACCCTGCAAGGTTTGCGTAAGTGCGGCCGTCCCCATTGACGTGTGGTGTGGGCCAGAAAAGCAGCACATCAGAGCCAGGGTGACCCTTGGAGATGGTGCATGTGCTTGTGTGCGGAGCGAGCGGAAACCAAACGAGCGCAAGCACAATGCTGACCATCTAATTAACGAAGGAGGTGAGGCTCCAAGAGCCCTGAAAGTAAATTAAGAGTTTTAAGAAAACCAATTTGGCAGCTCAGGCACAAAGTTCAAACTCTCCCCCTCCGAGGGGACCTGCCAGTGCCTGGACCCTATTAGCAATTGTCAATCATTCGCGCATGAAGTCATTTCCAACCCTGCCAGGCCTGTTTGTGGACCTGTAATACATGGTAAGTTACTACTGTAAGAATTTGGCCTCCCCAGCGTTTCAGCCTGCTAACTGGAACGACTGACTTCATCCAGAGGAAACTCTGCCCAGGCCTGACCCACCTGCAAATCTCCAGTGTGGCATGGACAGGAGCTGGGGAGGAGCGATAACACAACGCTCATCGACACCAGGGTACCCGATCCAAAGCCTGCCCAAGCCCTAGCCCTGCCTGAAATGGCTCATCCCTCCAAAGCAATGAGAGCAGTGTTTAGGCTGCCTATTTTAAAACAAATAGATTTCTAAGGGTGAAACGTGCCACTTCACCGTGGGATCTGACTGGTAATCCCCATTGTCCACCCAGGGGTGCAGGAGGGCTCAGCTTCTCCAGCTCCCTTCCTCAGTGAGTGCAGCGTTGTACTACTGCCTAGCTTTTCCAGCAGCAGTCTCCCCGCTTGCTTGCTGTGGGTATACTGTACTAAACACTGCGAATAAAACAGCAACTTGCCCAGACAGGCAATATGAGCTATTTTCCCCTAGTTGGTTGGAGGGATGGATTTTGGTTGCATATCACCAAATACAAGCCTGGCACATTGCAAGAGCATGAACTTTCCATCCTGACGACAGTGCTGCTAAGGGAGAGGGTGAATGGATGTACAAGGAGGTAAAATATATCCTGCCAGCGTGACCAAATGGTTCCTTGATTTGTGTTGGCTTGCAGAAGTTTGTGTCAACATTTCCCTGAGACCAGTGACTGGGCTGCAGACTCCCAGTCTCCACATGACTCACCCACGTACCTAAGCAGTCCCGTCATTACCATACCGGGTGCTGTGTTTAGTACCACCTGGATGCAATTTAGTACCACCGTCCCATTATTACCCATAATGTCCCTCGTTGCATGAGAGAAGTGACTTGCCCAAGGTCCTACTGGAAGTCCAAGGCTAAGTTGGTACTTCAACCAAGCACTCCTGTGACTTCTGTCCCATACCTGAGAAACTTCAAGATTTTCTAGGTGCAATACTGACAATACTGGAAATTTCTCCCAAAAATCACGTTGTTGCACATCTGCTGAACATATTCTTCTCATAGTATTTTGTATAACCACATTTTGCAGCCCCACAGGGCAGGGAGAACCTTGAAAACACAACTTAAGGATCAGGTAGCAAACAGAAAGAACATACAGGTCTGTAAAAATCACCTCCTGGGTGTTAAAGGTGTCCCGTGATTTGGAGCGACTAGACTCAAACTTTCCTAATGCTTGTGGCTGGCAGTTTCCAGCCCTGTTCTGCCGAGGTGAGCAGCACTTCCCTCAGGAGCTGGAAAAGGAGCAGCTGGTTTGTGGAGGCACTATGGATGCAAAACAAAAATGAGCAAACTTCCTTCAGCAAAGGCTGGCCCTGCCTAAAGGCTGGAGTGGAGCATTCCCAAACTTCGCATCTGGTTCATGAAATTTGGGCCCTGCCAGAGCCCTGGACCGCGCAACAGAAGGGTTGCTTGGGTCTAGAATATAACGGGCAAAACTGTGCTGTATTTGCAACATATTAATGTACTGATTTTAATTAATAGAACTTTATTCTTTTTAATTTTTTTTCTTTTCTTTTTTATTTCTGGCTATGAGGCTTCTTGATTCAATACATGGGCCATGACCTGGGAAGACTTGTGTGCTGTTCCCTGTCCCCCCCAAACGTATCTCCACGAGCAAGTTGCTTCTTTTTTCTGTGTCCCTATTTCCCAGTGTCATCTATTTAGATGAGCTCCTTCAGGTAGGGTTTGTGTTTTATTCTGTATGTATTGCACCTAGTGCTATGGGGCTCCATCTCTGCTGAGCTGTCAGTGTTTCTGTCCTACAAATAATATGCGTCTTTCCAGAGACAGATATTGTTGTCTGCATTTGCATTCCCACAGTCTCCTCCTTCTCTAACAGAAGGAAGCAGGCCAGATTTGACAGTCATATTTATCTCTGTTACTCCCACACCTCAAGGGAGATCTGTTTATTAATGTGCCACTTCCCTTGATAAATTACTAAATAGAAAGAAAAGCCTTGTACTCATTTCTCGCTGTTCCTTCCCATGATTTATGTCCACAGTGCTAGTTCAGCCATTGGTCGCCATTAATTTGCAGAGGCAAGAAGTCCTCAAGTCCAACAGAAACCTGGTTTTTCGCAGTGCATCCAACGTGAGCACCCCTCCCTGCTGCACACAGGTACGTCATTTTTTCCCTGCATAAAACTCTGTTGGAAGCTGTCAGATTTGCAAGTTGGCCTGGGACTTCTCCAGCCCAAAACCAGCAATATGCATTGCATTACTGTCTGCTCTAATCTAGATCTTGTGAGTACTGTGGGCTATCTGAAATGTTTGATAGAAGATCCAGTAGGTTGGGATCACGCTTTACACAAAAGCCTCTTAGGTCTTGTGGGCTTCCAGGGAAAGCTATGACCTAAAATCCTGCTGTGGATGAATAATTCCTCTTTTCTCAATGATAGCCTGCCCAAGGTGCCTGGAAGAATGTGGGAAGCGGAAAAGGAGTTTAACCACACAAAGAAGTTCTCACTAGTGCATTTAAGAAGTGGGAATATTTTCAAAATTGTTATTCGAAAGCAGATTAGCAGCACCAGTATCATTCTTAATAGTAAAATTGACCTGACCCAATCCACTGGTCTGAGGACACTGAGCACGAACGTTAAATAATACCAGGCGGCTGCAAAGATAAACATTTGTGTAGCTGCAGACATAGGCAAGGTCTTCAACATGGGTTGACTGTCAGCCACTTGAATACGTAAGCAAAATCATCTGTTGCCTGAGGTCCAGTGACGTTTCAAAGGAAAAACCACATCCAACTCCTTCAGCAGCGACTGTGCCCAGAGAAGTAAATGAAGGCAGGACCCGTTCTTCAGACACAGAATGGAAAGCCTCAGGAGGATTTGCCACTAGCACTCCCCCTCTCATCTCCCCTTCAAAAATGCTGACTTATCAAAATGAACAGGGTTAGTTGTAAGATTTTTTTGATGTTTGGAAAATATGTGAGGGGAAGAGTTTCCAAAATGTCAGAGCACACCCTTCAACGCTCTCAATAGAAAATAGCCTGGTATTTTTATGTTATTGTTCTAAAAGATGTTTTGTGAAGAAACATAAAGTCATAATAGGTTAAAACGAATCTGAACAGTTCACAAGTTAAAATAAAAATAGGAAATGATTTTAAAATTAATTCTGCTCATCTACCAGAGTTTCAATTTTCAAAATTAATTTCTCTCTGCCTCTCTACGTCAGATGGATACCTTTTTTACCTTCAGTTTTTTTTCCTTGAATACTTCTGAGGGATGGGAATGGGCCAAAGCCCACAAGCAAAGCAAGAAGCAAGATAACTCCAAGAGTTATTTAGTATCATTGCCTCTTCTGCTGTTCTATAATATTTCCAGCCAAGTACATTTACAGCATGACCAGGGTGGGTGTTTTCTAGTGGTTGCTCTCCCCGTGTCAATTTGCTCTTCTATTTCTGCCTCTCACCTTGAATAAACACCTATTAAAGCCAGCAGATGCTTTCTATTGACCACCATGGACTTTGGAACATGGAATAAATATGAATTTAAACGCTGACCTGGAGACACCCCTGTCTGAGCTATCTCATCTTTACTTTCAGACTGATTCTTTCCCAGCTGGAAAACATGCTATGTTTATGTGCTCATTTTTTGGACATACTAACAGCTTGGTTTTTATTTATTCAGTGTATATTAAAACTATCAGCTCTGAATGGCAGGAACTTGATCTTTTTTTGTTGTTTTTGCAAAAGCTAAACATACTTGCTTAGAATTCAAAACTCTTTCAGATTTCAAGCCACAACAAAAATATCCTTAGGCCTGAAGAGACAGGAAATTTCAAGCCAAAAGACTGTCCCCGTCTCTGTACGCTCTCAGAGACAGGAGGAGATGAAAATAGAGATGCGAAGTGGTGAGCAGAAAGATGCCGTAAAGGTTGAGCCCAAAGCTCTGGGCACAGGCAATAGTGGATGGCAATACACGAAGGTCAATAAAAAATTTACCTTTTTGCCAAATAGGCCTTTTCCCCCTGCTCCCTCTTCTTACAAAAGCCAGTTCCAGATACATTTTACAGCATTTTAACTGGAGCACACTGGCCGTCCCATACCATTTAGTACACAGACCCAGATACACTGGGTGTCACAGGCTGAACTCTATATTCTAGAAAATAAAAATAATCCACGTAATTTAAAAACATTTTAAAACTGCGTGGAATAACTTTTCAGTAGAAAAAGTTTGACTTTACAGCAGCATTATCTTTGTAGGGTAAATGTAAATATCACAACTCACAACTGAAATCCATTTCTGTCCTGGAGGGGTTTAA